AAGGCCAAGTTGCTGATGTTCTCCTTGTGTTTGGATCGAGTCTTGATACCATATTCTATTTCTCCAATGATGAGGTTCTTCGAATGACTGGATTTATGTTTCCAGTTTCTGTCAAATTTTTTCTTCTGAACATTATCAGACTCTGAAGGTTCTGATTGAGTCTCGATTGTATCTTCTTTTCCTTCTTCTGTGAATTCGACAATCTCTGAAAATTCTTGTTGAGCATCTGATGATTCTTGAATGTTGGAAGATAGTTCAGATTCATCTTTGTGAGTCTGAATATTTTCTTCAAACTTTACATTCATTGTTTCTTCCACGGTCTGAGACTTCTTATTGAAGACTCTGTATGCTTTACTTGTAGTAGAATATCCAAGGAAGAGTCCTTCATCTGCTTTCTCATCAAACTTGCCAGTGCGGTTATTTGGATTTTTGAGAATAAAGCATTTACAACCAAACACACAAAAATATGAGATACTGGGCTTTCTACCTTTGTAAAGCTCATAGGAGGTTTTCTCAAGAATGGGTCTGAGAAAAACTCTGTTAATGATATAACATGCTGTAAAAATTGCATCTGCCCAGAAATGAAAATGAATCTTGCTTTCAATCAACAGAGTTCTTGCAATTTCTTGCAAAAAACGATTTTTCCTTTCCACAACACCATTTTGTTCTGGTGTATATGGAGTAGAAAAATTGTGTTGAAAGCCATTTTCCTCACAAAAATCTGAAAAGCTTTGATTTTCAAATTCTGCCCCATGATCAGTTTTAATGCAGGAAATGGTATAGCCCTTTTCATTCTGAACTCTTTTTGCAAATTTTGAAAAATATAAAAATGCTTCATTTTTATGAGTAAGAAAGAACACCCATGTAAATCTTGTGAAGTCATCAACGATAACTAAACAATATTTCTTACCACCAATACTTTGTGTTCTGGTTGGTCCAAATAGATCCATATGAAGAAGCTGCAAGGCACGATCAGTGGAAACATGATGTATAGATTTAAAAGAACTTCTTACTTATTTTCCTAAAGTGCAGGCATTGCATAACTCCGTTTTCTTGTATTTCAAATCTGGCAGACCTCGAACCAGTTTCTTGTTTAGATCTTTGAGATTTGTTTCATATTGATATGCCCCAATCTTCTGTGCCATAGATCTTCATCCTCTTTGATTGAGATCAAGCAATGAGTGGAATTTGGATTGACATCTAGAAGATAAATGTTGCCATGTCTTCTCCCTGTGAATGTTTGAGAAGAACCTTTGCTTGTTCCTGAGCATGTATCTTCTTGAGAGTTGATTCTGAATCCTGTATCACATAGTTGGCTTATGCTTATTAAGTTGTAGTTGAGTCCTTTTACCAATGAAACATCATTGATTGTGAGTCCTCCAATTTCAACCGTTCCTTTGCCAACTATTTTTCCTTTGTTATTTCCTCCAAAGGAAACTTTTCCACCATTCAGACTTTGTAGATCAACGAATATGCTTGGATCTCCTGTCATGTGTCTAGAGCATCCACTGTCTAGGTACCACTTCCTTTTTCTCTTCGTGGTAACCTGCAAAAATCACATCTCAAGTTTTCTTTGATACCCAAATTTTTTTGGGTCCTTGAGGATTAGTATAGGCTGTCTTAACAAAGTCTCTTCGAATAGGTCTCCAGACCTTAGGACATTCATTCTCAAAATGTTGTTGATCTTCACATTTTGAGCACCTGAGTGCACTTCGGCTAACAGGTTTTACAAAATTCCTTTTGAAATGATTTTTGTAAGCTTATCGAGGAGGTCTTTGTTTTAATCTCTCCTTGACCTTTGGAAAATCAATCAAGCTGTCACTTTCCTTCACAAACCCGAGACCAGATTTATTACAGTAAGGAATTTGGATAGAAATGATATGCTTCAAGGTTTCTGAACCTTTTGAAAACTTGAAAGTAATTTCTGAAACTTCCTTTCTCAAAATAGCATTTTCTTTGGAAAGAAAATCTCGACTTTCCTTGATTTGATGAAATTCCTTTTTAAGGAAATCGATTTTTTCTTTTTGAGAAACATCCTGTTGCCTCAGTGATGAATTTTCCTTTTTCAAAGAAGAGATTCTTCTAAGAGCAGTTTTAAATTCAAAACATAATTCATCAATATAATTTGATACTTCAATAGGCATATCAGAGTGCTTTACCTCAATTTTCACTTTAGGAACAGAGTTTGAATCCGAGTCTGAGTCTGAGTCTGACTTAGCCATTAGACAGAAATTTGAGATATTTTCATCACTGTCTTCGCACTCTGTATCACTACAGGTTTCTGCCTTTAAGGCCTTATTTGCTTTATCAAATTTGGTCTTCTTTTTCAGAAGTGGACAATTAGGCTTAATATGTCCACGTTTCCTACATTGAAAGCATATTACGTCCTTTGATCTCTCTGTTTCATCAATAGACTTCTTTTTCTCAAAAGGCTTCTTCCCTTTGAGGTTTCTTCGTTTGATCTTCATCTTCTTATACTTCTTTACGAAGAGAGCTAGTTCTTCATCGTCAACATCTTCATCTTCAGAATCTGCATCAGAATCAATGTTAATTTTTAATGCAATTGACTTATTACCTCTGGATTCATTCTCCTCATTCCGATGCTCAATCTCATATGATTGAAGAGTTCCAATCAACTCATTTACTGATAGAGGCTTGATCCTCTGTGTCTCTCGAAGAGATGTTTTGATATTATCCCACTTCATTGTCAGTCCTCTCAGAAGTTTGTTGACTTTCATTGCATCTGGGATCGGTTGTCCTTGATATGCAAGACCGTTTACTATGTCAGTAAACCTGTCATACATATCAGCAATTGATTCTTCAGGTTTCATTTTGAAGGATTCATATTGACCAAGCAGAAGATTGATTTGAGTTTCCTTGGCTCGATCTGTTCCTTCATTAGTAATGTAGAGCGTATCCCAGATTTCCTTAGCTGATTCACAAGCAGCAATTTTTTTATATTCAATAGGAGATAAGGCACAATATAAAGAATAAATTGCTTTGGAATATAAGGTTTCTCTTTTGGATATCTCAATTTGAGATAATGGAGGATCTGCTGCTTTGCTAGCATCTGCCTTTTCTTTTGAATCAGAAGATTTTGGATTGACTCATCTGATGATGACATCCCATTGCATGTGATCAATTGACTTTATGAATGCTTTCATCTTATTCTTCCAGACACTATATTCCTTGCCATCGAAATATGGTGGTCTGTTGTTGCTTTGACCTTCAATAAGACCTGGAGCACTCAAGCTAACCATTTAGATCGTTAGCTCAGAAGTAAAACACTTTAATGAATGAGCAACCCGCTCTGATACCAATTGATGTAGCTAGCAAGGATCACCTAGAGGGGGGTTGAATAGGTGATCTTAAACAATTTTTATATTTTTATGCGGAAATGAAAAATCACAGATGAATCTGAATAAAATTCAGATTCAAGACAGATTGTATAGACGGTGCTCTTGATGTGCAGAATGTAAAATAAAATATAAGGGATAGAAAATCTGCACACAAGTTTATAGTGATTCGGCTTATGGTAAGCCTACGTCCACTCTCCCACGTTGACAGCCTACCGGCTAGATTTCACTATGTAATCAATGAAGAATTACAGCTTTAGAGTGATAGCACTCTTGTGTATGATAGGACTCTCTATCTCACATAATCACCCTTACAAAGTATCCCTCAAGATCTTAATTTTTGGCTCAGCAAGACAAGTAAAGAATGATCGGAGTATACTCAGACTTTGGACTTGTTGACTCTTGATTCTGTTCTTCCTTTTGCTGCTCGTTGATCTCCTTAAATACTCCTCTACTTCCAAACTAGCCGTTAGACAGCTATTAGAGGATCATCTTCCAATCTTCACCTTGGACAGATTTGTATAATAAGGATTGAGTAGCCGTTGGATGACAGATTCTGAATCCCGCTGATTCTGGTCGCCCATACAATCAGAATCTTAGTTTCCATAAGTAGAGTTTTATTTGTTGTAATGCATACTTGTCGAAGTATTTGATTGTCAATCAATTATTGCCTTAGATTGAAACAATCAAAACTTTCCTACTGTGAAATCCATACCGAATCACTAACTGTTATGTTTGGTTTTGAATTCTGCGTCTGCGTTTGAAGAAATTCTGCGTCTGCATCTGAAAAACTTCTGCGTCTGCGTCTGAATAATTTCTTCGTCTGCATCTGACTAAATTTGCGTATGAATCTGAGAACTAAGATTATGTGGGTCTTCAATAAGGTATTTGACAGCTTGTAAAGTCTGAATAACTTCCTTCTGAGCTTCCAGAATATACATACCTGGAATAAATTAGTTCAGAATAAGTATCAGATTTACAATAAATTGGAAGGTTTTGTCAACTTCAAAATCAATAGGAGTTTTCTCAACAGTTGTCCATATGGCGAGATCCTCAATCCACATAAACAAAACCACTTTCTATAGAAAGAAAAGCCCACCGAACTAATCCAGCATATTTCACGACATTTTCCCATACTTGACAGAATACTGGAATAATCAGTGTGACCATCAAGCGCTTCAGTCTAAAATTAGAACTATACAGATCAAACCACAAAGCTTTGCTCTGAAAGCTGCAGTTCACACTTCACACCACATTTGAAGACTAATTCGGTTCCTTTTTTTTTTTCAGTTTATGGTTGAAGTTTCCTCCACAATATGAAGGTACCAATGCGCCTGAAAAAGAAACAAATGAAAGCTAGCAATTAATAGGTACTTACCAGAAACTATTGGCTTTCTGTCTCCTTTGATCTTTCTAACTCTGTCTCCTTTGATCTTTCTGACTCTGATGGGCTCACAGCCAAGAACTTCTATTAGTTCATTCACTTCTTCAATCCTTTCGAAGCTGGCTGCTCATGTAAAACTCAACCTGCCATCGAACTAAACCACCAAAAATGAACATGTTAAAGGCAACAAAATGAACATGTCTGGTGCTAGCCAGATCCTTTAACTAAATATTAAAAGATCGACATGTTAAAGGCAAACACTGCGATGCTTGAGCGCTTCCAACCTTTTTGCAGTCTCTGAATCATCCTCGTTGCCGGATTCATGATTATCTTCCTCAGATGGATCTGCTGATTCAGAGTCTCCTGAATGGACAAGCATATACAGGATAATCTAGTGAGCAATAGAATCAAGCTCCAGCAGTAGAACCTCCACCTCCCATTAGGACACAAGGTTACATTTTAAGGACAAAATGGACAGCCTAATGCAAAAGAGACATAGTAACGAGAAACTAAAGGGGCATTTACCATCATCATTGCTTGAAGGTTCTCGTGCATTTGATGCCTCGTTACTTTTGTTATCTATAACAACATAAGGTCCACTACCTGTGCCGACGAAAAGAAATAAAAAAACGATAGATGACCCTCTAATGAAGAAAGGAATATCACCATGAAAAGTAGCAAAAACAGCAAACCATACTCAAGAAAAAATATGCGACACACAAAAGCTCACCCGGTTTACGTTTGCGCCTTGAATTTGATCTGGCTAGCTCTATATGCAAAGTGGATCCAGTTTGCGGATCGAATTTGACGCCCTATATGCATCATCCAGATGAATTGCGGTATAAAACACAAGGCATAAAACAATCTGATTACTAAACAGACAACAATTTTCAGCAAGGCAATCCAATACAAGTTAATCATCATTCCTACGTACTAACAAAAGACAAGTGGTATTTGGGAATTGCGTTATCTAACGTGAAGTCGGCAAAAAATACCATCCATTGGAAGTTGGCAAGTACAAAAATACACAACAAATGAAAATGGCACTCACATTCAAGGCATGCCATGCTGCTATTGCTGATTGATGGTTCAAAAATGTAGCAAAAGCAACCACCTGCATGGAAAGAACAAATATTAGCTACAGTAAAGAAATGGCAAATTACTTTAATAGAGTACATCCTTCTCATTAACCTGGTTTTACGACACAAAACAGTACAAAATCAACTCAAGCAAATAAAAATGACGAGACCCGTAAGCCTCAAGTCAAATTAGAGGACGCTGATTGTGAACTAGAAGCTGAATTTACACAAACACGTAGAGTGCATTTTTTCTATCCATCCTCATACGAGTAGACAATCACACAAATCATCACCCACTAACAAAACATCCATTTAAAGACATCTTCGCCGTCGCTTGTTCCCGAAAGGTCACCAGAAAATGAAGGAATGCGATTTTTCCTCGAGAATTGAATGGACAGTCAAATCAACTATCCAGAGAACTGCAGACATCATATAATCAAACAAATATAGGTTGATTCCCCCAAACCCCAACAAATATAAGCGCGAAAGAGGAGGAAAACTCTAACCTCCAGAGCAGATCTTCGCTCTGTCAGACGGAGACAACGCGCCGGAGTAGCCGATGGGCTCCTCGAGGCGACGGTGGAGGCCGCTGCTTATTTGGTCGCGAAGAAAGACACCGGCACTTTTGGTTCCTTGAAATTCCTGAGAAAGAGGGGACGTGAAGAGAGACGGAGCGAGAGAGGAGATGGTTTGCTTCGAGAAAGAGGGGAAAAAACCCTAACCTGAGTCGGACACAGACGACAAAAAGGGGTCGACCTTCGAGCAAAGGAGGCGAGGTCGCCAAGAGGGACAGAGAGACAAAGCAGAGCGAAGGAGGAAGGGAGAGAGCAGAGCGCGGTGCCTTTTCGGTCGTCAATAGGGACGGAGGGAGAGATCGAGATCGAGAGAGAAACCAAGCTGTTCGTGTTTTCGAGGCAGTAATGGACAAGCAAACGGAGAGAGCGGGGAACGGGGTTTTTGAATATTTCTGACGAGTGGGTCCCAAAGTCCACGTGTCGCGATCTGGGTGGACTGTCTCACCGATGACGTGGCGAGACAGTCCTACCCAATATTTTCTCCTTTTCTTCACGCCCTCACCTTTTATTATTTTCTATTTCTTTTTCTTTATTATTTTTATTTCCTTTTGGTCTTCCCCTCTGCATCGTCTTCTTCCTCGACGTCTTCTTTGAAAGTTCATCTTTCTCATACCTTCACTGAGCTTCACAAAAAAGAACATCATACCAACACTTCGACCACCACCAATCTATTCTATGACGCTAAAATCGTATAATTTATCAATTGGACCAACTCCGGCGAGAGATTCTCAAACTCAAAAATCGTATATACTAAAACTTTATCAATTCTAGCACACAGAACACGTATATACACATCAAAGAATGAGAAATGAACTGACTAGAGCGGCCTCTAACCGCTGGCAACACTCCGGCGAAAGGGGAATGAATCTCCGTTGAAGGTTCCATTAATGGCCGACTCGAACAAATGGTGCATATGCCATCAAAATCAAAGAAAAACAAAGATAACTTGATGTCAAGATCAATACTAGAACGAATCGAGCTTCCAAAGTAATGATTTTACAAGTTAACAGATTTGGTGCCTCTCCTAGACATTTAGTCGAACAGTTAACATGCTATCTGGAAAACGAGATTCTGATTCGATTCCGATATGATTCTCAATCAAGAAGTGATGTGCAGATGCCTAAATCATGTTATTCTACAACAAATATGCCTTATTCCATCAGATTTTCACACAAACTCGACAATCGAATCAAGTTCTCTCGGCCAAAACAGTACATATACGAGAGAGAAGTCTTACCTGGTTTGAAAGCAGCGTGAAGTCTTCACGATCGTCTTCGAACAGGAACGCGACAGGTCTGGGATTCCTCTGGTGCGGCTAAACAGTGACGAACAATACCGACTCGCACTTCCCAAGTAACGAACTACGGTATCTCATGTATCCGAAACCGTGATTCACGGCAATTGTTCTCCGGCGATGGTGAACAGACGATGGAAGAAGGATGGCTCGTACGTCTGAAGCGACGAACAGTGGTACCTCGCGAATCCGAAATGCCGATTAACTGAGATCCTTTTCCGGCGACGGTGAATAAACGACGGGAGAAGGGGAAGAGGTTTGCCGGATTCCTCTATGCGAGTAGAAGAACCGAACGCTCCCTCCTCCAAAAACCCTTCTCCGGCGAATGTTCTTCTGATTCTTCCCCTCTGTATCTGTTTTTCACCACTTTCTTATCCTGCGCCCCCCATCCTCTCGGGTTGTTATTTCTAACAGACATGCCAGCTCATCTCTTCTTCTAGAAGCTCCATCGGATTTGCTTTGGTCACCTCCAGTTCGCTCACGGACGATGGGCGTTCGTCACTGTCCCTCTTCGTCACCTTCTTGTTCCTTTGCTCACAAAAGAGAGCGCAAGGTGGAGGTGGGAAAAGAGCCAATGGGCCGGACTTCCGTAAGCTAAATGGGCGGAAAAGAAATAAAGTGAAAGAAAGGCTGGGCTGTAAAGCAAAATTGAAAAAAAGAATGGGCCAACGAATGAATTAGGCCCAAATGGGCTGAATTAAATCGACGATCTTTTATTTGTTTTTTTGAAAATTTCTATTTTTATAATTTTGCAAAAGAAATGGATGCTTGGATAGTCGACGAAAATTCAGGTGTCAACAAACCCTAATACAAAAATTTGAAAATCTTGGATATGATCATGACAAAAATTAAGAAAAATCACACATTTGGGTGTAAAATGTTATGGGGAATTCAATTTTTATGTTTAGTTTGAAAATTTTAGTCAAGATCGAGCTTAATTTGAAATTTTAGACCAACCCGGGTCTGCCGGGTCGACCTGACCCGGGTCAATCATCCCCTTCACCCAGTTTGCAGAATGCACAATGAACCCAACAAAAATATTTTCGCGCCCATGACTTGAACGATCTCCCCCGATCAATATAGCACGTGTTAAACTCGACGGACAGCTGGAGAATCTCTGGCTGTCGTAGAAGGTTCGACCCGGTCCGATTCCTTCGGCGGGAAAATTTTTAAAAAATCATAAAAATCAGAAAATATTTTTTAAAAAAATCCAGAAAATCAAATAAAAAATAAAAAATCGAGAAAAATCCATAAAAAATCAAAAATTCAGAAAATTTGAGAAATTCACAGAACTAAAAAAAATTTTCCGAAATTTAATAAAAATCAGAAAAATTCAGAAAATCCTCATAAAAATTTGAAAATTTCAAAAATCCACAAAAAAAATTTCAAATTTCAAAAATTTCAAGAAAAATTTCAGAAAACCCAAAAAAATGATTTCTCGGTAAATGAAAATTCTCAAATAAAACATTTTCCGAAAAAAAATCAAAAATTCCAAAAATTCACAGAATGCTTCAAAAACACTGTAGCCAACCATTGCAAGTGAAATTTGAATTTTTGGAAGTGCCTAAATGGCATTTTCAGAAAATCCTAAGTTTAGGGGTTTTTATCCCTAAAAATACCCTAAAACTCTAAAATGACACAAACCATAAAATGAACAATCCTCTAAGGCTTCACTAGGATTTGGGTGCTTTGATTGAATTTCATTTGTAGAAACCAAATTAGGATTGTTTTGCTTGATTGCAATTGATTGCGCCTTTAATTCATGATTAATTGATTTTTCACGATTAGAATGGTTAGGATTAGTGGATAGGCCTCGGAAACTTGCGTGACACGATAGACACATAGTAACGTTCTAGGAACTGAAAAAGCGTTAATGATCTCAAGTTGGGATTGTTAACGTAACCAAGTCTCTTACTCAGAATATCTGGTTTGCAGAATCGTGGTATTTCTTCCATACCCCGATTAGGTTTCTAGTCGACCTATCAATAATGACTAGTGGCAACTCCAAATCAAAATTCAGGCTAAATAAGATAATAAACCCCCGCTGTCTCGTGAGGGACGGTCTGAGAGAGACCTTTATACAAAAGTACCTCTAAAGCGTACGAAAGCACGGCGCGACAACTACGTGTCCAATTCGTAGCATTTATGTGAACATGCGAGATGACAACATTCAGGGCAACGATCACATTAAGAAGATGCATGGTCTATAGCTCCTATATCACATGATAAAAATGAGGGGAAAATCATATAAGTTGAGCATAGACCCATAAATATTTTTCATTGGGGGACCTAAACCTGAATGCAATCACAATGCATGGTACAAAAATGGCCAAGACAAGGCAAACTTGAAACACATGCATAGTAATAGAACAAAATTTCATTAATGCTTGCAATTATATGAACTAATTATTAATGTGTAATTTATATGTATTATGGGGTATTTATGTAATTATGCTTCTATCTGTACCCTTTCTGTAATTAGTCACTCCTATAAATACATATCATACAACCCTAATTGAGGTTGAGCCACCATAAACACTTTGTCATTATTTTCTCTCTAACTCTAAACATCAACATGGTATTAGAGTAGGAAAACAAATCGAATTCTTCAACATCTCTACCCCAAATCAACACTTCCTTTGCTGCAATTACTATCTCAACAATATTCAATACATCTTTTAATTTTTCTTCTTCTCTTTCATCTCTTTACCCACCATCTTCTTTTTCTGTTAATCCCAATTTCCCATTGCCTCCCGATAATATTGCGCCCACTTTCCCCTCTTCTTCACTCTTCACTGCTGCTCCAATCTCTGCTGCTACTCAAATTATGGCTGTGCAATCATCCTCGCCGTCGCTTGTTCTTCCCAAC